GTGCCGGTTAACCACACACGCTCCACCGAACTATGACAAACATTGAGTCACCCTTTACTACCTTTGCTTAGAACCATTTAGTGTGATGGTTAACCACACACACTCCACTAACGTCTTTGCAAGGGTACAAAGTGTAATTTCATGGAATTGCATCAATTCATTTTTGCCTAAAGTAACTAAGATTGGGAATTTTGTATAAACATTTAGTTACTTTATACTTGATTATACTTTTAATGGAAAGGGTTTTCCGTATCCTACCCGTTCGGCTAACGACCATCCACTAGTCAAGAGTGCGGTGGCTAAGAGTGGATACCCATTCAATCGCCATTTTATAGGCAATTTCCTTAAACACCCATTATATACCAGCTTCGTTAATGAGGCCTACCAACGGTAAGACTAGTAGTTTAAGTTATACATATATAATATTATACTTTTACTGTTATATAGAGTATAAGGGTGTACTTTACACTTTTAAAATACTAGGTGGTATAATTTAATAAATTATACTTTTAATTTAATTAAATGTAAACCATATCACTATGGATTTATTAACTCTCTTTTAATTATACACTTAATTAATTTAATAAAACCATAAGGGTGCAATTTGAACTTTTTCAAAACTTAGGGTTTTAGAATTTAACACCTTTTAAAATTAAACTTTTAAATTAAAATTTAAATTCCAAAACTTGAGGGCAAGTTTTGAAACATTTCAAATCATTAGGGTTAGAATTTAAATATTTCAAATCAAACATTTTAATCAAAATTTAAATTCCAAAACTTGAGGGTAAGTTTTGAAACTTTTCAAAACACAAAGGATCAAATAGCAAATAATTTAAATTAAACAATTAATTTAATGATTATCTAAATCTGACCTAGTCAATATTACTTGCAAGACAATTTACCAATTTAATTAAAATAATCAATTATTATCATATAAGGAAATTATCATTCAATCAAATGGTAATTATCTTTTGTTTGGTCAATGATATACTCAAATATATGATAAAATTCGGATATTAATGACCCAAAGCAATTAAGGCAAGTATCCTTAAGCAAAATAGCAAGAAATCCCGAAATCTGCCCTTACTGACGCTCAAACTCGCCGAGTTCCTCTATGAACTCGCCGAGTTGAAGCTACTAGCCGAGTCCACTATGGAACTCGCCGAGTTCATCAGTCAGGAGCAAAAAAAAAAACGATTTTCAAAGCTTAAACAAATAATCATGGCATCAATACAATAGAAACCAATTAAGGCTCTGATACCACTGATGGGTTTTAGCCAAAAGAACATCTTATGTGCTCATGCACACCCTAATGCTTGGATCTAGGTTTCTCTATTTTACATGCATTCATCCAAGACTTTAAACCCTAGATCTAGCATGTGATAATCAATATTAACACAAGAATAAGGTTTAGATCTTACCTTGATTGTTATGTAGCAATAACAATCTCAAATCCTCTTTGTAATGGCTTTAGAAAGCTTACAGTCACAAGTGTCACTCCTCTAATGGATCACAAACACCAAGAGCAAGAGGATGAAGAAGAAGAAGAGAGGAGGCACCCAAAAACGTGTGGAAACCCTAAGGAAACTCTTGGCCACGTTTTTTGTGCTCTAGGGATCCTTAAATAGTGAGGCTATTAGGGTTATCTAACAAGGAAACCCTAATTTGACTGCTTAGGTCCTAAGCAACCCATGGACTCCCTCCTTAGAGGCCTAGGATGATTTCTAATGGGTTTCCCCATAGAATTCGTCCAGCTCTCTAATACGGAGTCCATTAGCTCAATATTCAACTATCATACAATTAAGAGTTCTAGTCCCTTAAGTTTAATTAATGTCTTTTAGCCACAAAATTAATTCTTAATTAATTATTGACTAATATTAATTAAACAATATGATTTCTCCTTTAATATATTATTCTCATAATATATTAATAAATCATAATTAATCCTATTTCTCTCCATAATTCATCCTATCAAGTTGCTTTGGTGAAGGCAACCCAAAAGGACCATGCACCATCGGGTCAAGTACACACCAAAATAGTTATGGAATTAGACACTAATCCAACAAAAATAAGGTGTAAATTTATCATCTTACCCCTGGTTAAAGACTATTATTGCGGTAATCGTCAAAAGAACTAATAGTATAGCATTTTAAAACCATAAAGTAATTTAGTGTAACAACGTAATTTTTACAACAAAAATTTTGTTTTTGTCACAACCATTTTCATATAAAATATTTCCAAAAACATCCAACAATAATTATCAAAACATATCGTATCCCAAGATCACAAAAATAAAATCCTTTCTCTAGTGTGTACGAATCACGTCGGTGCCTTCCCGCGGTCCTCGTTAGTACCTGAAACACATAACACAACAACTGTAAGCATAAATGCTTAGTGAGTTCCCCAATATACCACTTACACACATACGCCCTTCCAGGCCATGACCTTCCTGTCCATGTGTCTCAGGGGACTTCCGTCCCAACCCGGTAAACCTTCCGGTCCTACCCGTGTCGACCTTCCGGCCCATGACTCCCTGACCTTCTGGTCTACCTCATAATGCCTTCCGGCCTATATCAAGCATAACATTCATAACACATACAAAACAAGTAACTAATCACATACAATGCATATATCTTATAGCATACCATACCTTCCGGTCACACATAGGTACCCTTCCAGGTACAATATAGTGAGAAGACTCACCTCAGATGTTTCGGTAAATCACTGACTCGGTGGAAATACGATCTAGCCTCGGCCTAAACACATAAAGTAATACTCTCATAAATATAACTCTCAGAACTAGACTCTACTTTCTCTAAGCTCCCTCATAAGGGTAAAAGACCATTTTACCCCTCCTTTGGCTCAAAGGCCCTTGTTGTTGACCAAACCCTGAAAGTCAATCAAAGTCAACGGTCAAACTTTGACCTGACTCGGCGAGTGCACTTGGGCAACTCGGCGAGTCCACCTGTGTCCACTTAACTCTTTAGTCCCGTTTAACACGTCGAGTCCCTCCCTTTAATCGACGAGTTCCTAGGAAAGAATCACGGGGCTACCCCGACTCAACTCACTGAGTCTCAAGAACAACTCGGTGAGTACGTGCCATGCACAAACTCCATTGACCTCCTAAGGTCAGATCTGCTCCTCAAATCCATAGATTTGTGCTTCCCAAGTATAATAATCACGTAAAGTCCAGACCTTGACACTCATATATCACCTTGATGGTATCATTTGGGGATTTAGCCCTAAAAATGGCATCCTAAGCTCATAACTCCCATGATAACTCATAAAGCTCCAAGGGATAAGGTCTCTAGACCTCTTTGAGTCCATATCCAAAGCATAAACTCGATAGGGGACCAAATGCTCCACCTAAACATCCTCAAAAATGGATAGAAAACCCTAACTCTAAGTATCAATACCAAAACTGAAGGTCCGAATAAATACCTCAAGTTGAAGTCTCTGAAGTCTGCAACCACTAGAACCACACCTCCTTCAGTCTCCTCTTGCTCTTGATCACTTTCTTCTTGCTAAACCAAAGCTAGAAAGGTCAAATATGGTTTCTCCTTCCTCCCAAACGATATATCTCACTTAGGGTGCTCTCAAGGGACTGGTAGCCGTAATGTAAGGCTAAGAGTGCCCTTAAATAGGCTCCAACCCCGGAGGATTAGGGTTTCTTTAAACAACGTGGACTCACCGAGTCCACTCATGGACTCGCCGAGTCCAACGAAAACCCAGATGATCAACCGCAACCCTACTCGGCGAGTCTAAGCATCAACTCGCCGAGTTCCTTCACAAATTTAAAAATTAAAATATTAGAATATTATACCTGGGATTCCGGATGTTACATTTAGTTTTTAAAAATTTGGGAAAATGACTCTTGAGGGTAATTAACTTTTGCGTTTGTACTCATTTAGTCAATTTCCTTTTTTTGTATTCAATATACCATTGAACTTGTTGTTTGTGTTCACCATAACCCTTTTGACCGACTTTTGACTTGTGATAGCCGGTCAAAGGGTTATGGTGAACATAAACAACAAGTTCGATGGTATATTGAGTATAAAAAAAAGGAAATGGACCAAATGAGAACAAACTCAACAGTTGGTTACCCTCCTGAGTCGTTTTCCTCGAAAAGTTAAATGAAATTAAAGTTGCAAAATTATCAAAGACTGCAACCTTCTTTGACTATAACGTATATGACGAGCGTTTAAGAGGGGTAATTTCATTAAAACATGGTCTATGATATGCTTACTGTGGTTAGCTATCAACACCTCTCTTTAAAAGGATATGATTGTGTATGAGAGGTATATTTATCAGCAAAAACGTTTACCTCAAGGTATATTATGGTGATGTGTCTGCAAAATCAGCATGATATTGTACATATTGATGTTGTATCTAATCTCATGAATTCGATCTTAAAGCTAACTAAACTCAAACATCACAACGCTTGTGATTCCACCGTTTGTAGACTTGTCTAGAATCCATGATACGATAAATCATTTGATTGGAAATGTAAATGTAGTCATGAAATGCGCCTACTTAGTTAAGATTCCCCTAATAAATATTCAAGTGTATTACAAAGTTGTACATGTATGAATAATATTTTTTCGTGGCTTATGTTTTGAAGAGAGACAAAAATGAATCTCATAAAGTCATTAATATCAATAGGAGTTGACGTGAGATTTGCTGTAAATGAGTAAAGGGAAAGTGACTCAGGAGGGAACTAACTGTTGAGTTTGTTCTCATTTGGTCTATTTCTTTTTTTGTACTCAATATACCATCGAACTTGTTATTTGTGTTCACCATAACCCTTTGACCGGCTATCATAGATCAAAAGTCGATCAAAAGAGTGATGATAAATACAAACAACAAGTTCAATAGTATATTGAATAAATAAAAAAAACCCAAATAAATAAAAACACAAAAGTTAATTACCCTTAATAATCATTTTCCCATTTTAAATAAAAAATTCAAACACAAAAAAAAAAAAACAAACATGTAATTTAGTCTTTATTAAAAGTATTGGGTGCACGGTAGAGGATTCGGTGGCGTCTGTTAAACATCTAGTCTCCCGCCCACCGTTTCGTGTGGTGGTAGATATCAAACTCCTTTTCTCTTTCTCTTTCTCTTTCTCTTTCCTCTCTGTTTCCTTGTAAGAATATATAACATAACATTTCTTCCTCAACCTATTTCTAATCTATCTCTTTGCATAATCAATCTACACTATATCCTCTCCATAATCGATCTCTGCAACAAAACGAATATGTCGGATTCTAATACCAAGTCCAAAATCCAGAGCATGCGCGAATGGGTCGTTGAGCATAAGCTTCGGGCTGTTGGTAATTACTTCAAACTTTGATCATCACGTAGTTCTATCATCCTTATGTTATGGTGCTTTTCCGTTAAATTCTTATGCTAGATTTGATATCTGACAGGGTCTTTGTGGTTAAGTGGTATTGCTGGATCGATCGCTTACAATTGGTCTCAACCCGGCATGAAAACCAGCGTTAGGATTATTCACGCAAGGTAATCTTACTTGTTCTTCCTAACAATCAACCTTCTGGTTTGCCCTAATTTTGTACATGAATTATAAATTAGAGGATTAGGGGTTAAAGAAACGAAACCCTAACTCTAGCACACCTGACAAATTGCTTGGAACTTTTCATTCTAAATTGATTTTTTGGATTGCAAGTTCAATTCCATGGTTCTAGCATATCAAACATTATGGGGGGTTTGGGTGTAGGATTTCTTTTGCCTAATTATCCAAATGAAATTACCCTACATCTACATATTAATCATGAAATCAGAATCATAAAACATGATTGGAAATTGAAATCGCAATGATGTTTATCCCTGTGTGACTTGGTTTTGATTTAGGTTGCATGCACAGGCTCTGACATTGGCAGCCTTAGCCGGAGCTGCAGTTGTGGAGTACTATGATCACAAATCGGGCACAAAGTCAGAACGCTATGCCAAGTTCCTCCCTCCTATTGATTCATCATATTCCCAATCCCACTCCCACAAAGACTAAATGGAAGTCTGGGTGATTTTTGCAATCATGTTGTTTAATTGTAAATATTCACATCAAAATGTTGAATATGGAGTTTTCATGTAATAACAAAATAATCAAACTTTGAGGATTCATACTGTAATCACGCTTCTTTATGGAATTTGATGCAAAAAACAATACATAATTACATTACTCTAAATCAAGACCTCTTTAGTGATATAGATATAAGAAATTGGTGGTGGAAGGTTCATCTTATTATGTTTCTTCAGTAAATTATGTGTATGGTCTTGTGGTTTTAGGTAATTTGCAAGCTTAGCCCTTTTTGTTTACCTCTTAATTAAAAAATTAAGAGGTAACCTCTTAAAAATTAGATATGGTTTGTTTGGTAACCTCTTATACAATACATCCGAATTTTAAAAGTGCCTCTTAAAATTTAAGACTTCAAAGCGCATCTGAAAAAAAAAAGACAGGAACCTTAGTCTTCTCAATATCACGCCTGCGTTGTTTTCTTCTCATTGACACATACATAACAAATTCATCCCCAATCTAGTGAACCTCTGTTCCCTCCCCTCCATCGAAGTCGTTGGCATCCTCTCCTCCATCGCAGTCGTCGGCGTCCTCTCCGCCTCCAGATCCGACGGTTGTGCCACATCGACTCTAATTCCACCTCTGACGACTGTCGCCGGAAGGAAAACCATCCAGTTTCCTTGTCAAAACACTGCTCTTGGTAAGATTTTTTTGCCTAAAACTTGATTATTTTCGCTGGAATGGTTGTGATGTTGGTAGAAATCAGATTCTTTCTTTGCCCTAATGTTTGGCTGTTCTTTTTTTTCCAGTCACATGTCATCGTTTTCATCCTTTTTTATTTTGGATTTCTTATTTATGGGTCTTTATTTTCTATTTGCTTTTTCGTTCAATAGTCTAGATGCCCCTATGAAGGATTAGATTCATATTAGGTAATTGTTTTGTTTAAGATTTGGTTATTGCTCTTGTGATTTGAAGCTGTTGTGTGTGGATTGGTGGTGGGGTGAAGCAAGAATGATCTACATTGATAGAAAATTAGCTAATTATGGTCTCAAGCATGGTTTTCTTGTTTCTGAATTAACTGAAGTTATACTTTGATAGAAAATTAGTTTTTGTACTTTGATAAAAAAAATTAGTTGAAGCATGAACGAAGTGCTGTGAATCAAATTTGGTATTTATGTGAATCCGATACATTTTTCTGTCACTATGAAGGTTGCTGTTTGATTTTGTGATATTTGTGAAGTAAATGTTTGTTTGATTTTGTTATTTTTGGGAAGTAAAGGTATTTTTCATTTTTGTGAAGTAATATATGTTTGATTCATTAATGGTTGAGAAAAAATTGAAAGTAGAAGGCTAGAAATGGTTATAGTTTTCAGTTTACCATGTGTTGATAAGGAAAATATTGAAAGTACAATGTTGTAATTATAAATAGAATTCTAGTAATTATAATAAATGATACAGAAGGGAAAAATTGTCATTTTTATTATTCAGCATAATAATTCAGAGGTTCAACCAAACAGCATGTTAGAAATTCAGATCTTAAAAATTTAGACCCTTTTACAAATTCTGATCTCTTAAAAATTCAGATTTTAAAAGTTCAGATTTTAACTCGGACCATCTCTATCATTAGGTTTTGTTTCACCTTTAGTCCCTTCCATATATGAAATGACAATACAACCCTTATCTTTTTTTTTGGTATAATTATTTTTATTATTATAAAATATTTAGGGCCCACCTACACCCATACTCTCTCTCCTTTACCCTTCCCCGTCTAACTTTGACTCCTTTCTAGCAACTTAAAAAACCCATAAATAATGCTCAAACATGCTCAAATTGAACTCTCCATTAAAACTTAAATCAAACCTTTGTTAACAAAAAAACAAAACAGAGTTATAATCCTAAAAGCAAAAAACCTAAATACAATCCAGATGCAAATTTATTACTTAAAAATAAATGCTGAAAAAGTTAAGCATTCGATCACCTTTTGCCAACAACCAACTTGCAAAATGTAACAGCCCGAAATCCAGGTTAGCTTTATGGCCCTTCTATTTTGGAGAGTTGACATTCTAGTCACTTGAAGTTGAAAAGATGAATTGGTGAGTACGTTGGGCGCACTGGAGCGTACGCCGCACGTACTCGCGCGCTTAATTTATACGCGTGTTCATCCGAGTACATTGGGCGTACCCAAGGTTACGTCGGGCGTAACCGGCCCAGATGCAAAACCCTAATTTGTGGCCTTGCACTATAAAAGGAACATGTAGTCCTTTTCCCTAGCCACCATACACCCTTGAGAGAGCCCTTGAAGAGCTGAGATTTGTGCTTTAGCTTGTGTGTGAGTTTTTGAGCTTGAAGTTGTCTTTTCAAGGTGAAAAAGGAGAAGAAGGAGCCATTGTTGGAACTAGAAGTTGAAGAACAAGTGTAGATCTGAGTTCTACAGTGGTTAGAGATCCTTCCTGAGGTAAAAATCTCAAAGCTTTCCTTGTTCTTCATAAGTTTTGCTTGTTGGACCATTTTTAGGGTTTTTGGTTCAAAGTTGGAGATTTTATGTGCAAAGAGTCTCCATAAGCTTAGATCTGACCTTTTCTAGTGTAATATATGTTAAGGAGTCATAAAAATCGAGTCTTGGATGTGGATCTTGTGGCATGCATGAGTTATAGTCTCATTATGGAAAGAGGAAAGGTGTTTTGAGCACAAAGTGACCTTTACAGCCATGCAAAGGCTTAAAGGTTCCAACTTTATGGTTTAAGACATAGTAGAGGGGTTAGATCTGAAGTTTGGATGCAAGTCTTAACCGTTTAAGACTTGAATGTGCTAAACAAAGAAACCGGGCATTACGCTGGGCGTAATCCCAGTACACGCCGCGTAAGGGGTTGCTTACCCCATTTCTGGAATGCAAGAGTACGCCCCGCGTACAGGAGCTGGTATGTCCCGCGTACTGCTTGTTGTTGACTTTTAGGATTTTAGTCAACATGTGGGCTTTTGGGTCAAGGAGGGGTAAAGTGGTCTTTTACCAATCTGTGGAATTTTAGAAGGAATATAGTAAAGCCTTGAGAGTCGTTAATGATTATTTGATGTGATTAGGCGAGGCTAGGTCGAGTGTCCGCAGTTGCATTAGGGGACATCACAGGGATCTGCACCTGCTGCTAGGGTTACCGAGGTTCGATCGGTAAAGGCAGAGGCTCCGAAGGCTCGTGAGAGAGCTTTCCAGTTGACAGTGGAGGAGGTCCGCGCAGCACCCGACGTTGTGGCCGATATGTATTCTTCTCTCTACTTATTTGAGTATGAGATATTATGCTTATATTATGTTATGTGTAGGTACTTTTCTTGTGAATTCTGAGCCTGCCTTAGTGTTATTTGACTTGGGAGTGAGTCGGTCTTCTGTGTCGTTAGCATTCAGTCGTCATATCAGTATTTATCGAGCAACCATGAGTCGACCTCCGCGAGTTTCTATAGCTAACGAGCAAGCAGTGTATGCAACGGATGTGATTCGAGGATGTATCCTTGAGATCTTCGGTGTGGAGTTCCCAATAGATTCGGTCCCGATTGCGATGGGGGATGTGTGTGTTATAGTGGGCATGGATTGGTTGAGCCTATTTGGGGCTGTTATAGATTGCGAGCATCAGTTGGTAACGATACGAGACCCTAGTGGGGGAGTACTTACGGTGCACGATGAGGGTACCCGTATTGAGTTAGCATTTTGTTCGGCTGCTAGGGTGAGGCAGAGTTTACAACAGAGCTGTATGGGATTTGTGGCTTATGTGATGGACACACAAGTGGCCGCTGGGAGGCCAAGTTCGACTGATGAGGTCCAAATTGTGCGGGAGTTCCCTGATGTTTTTCCCGAGGAGTTTCCAGGTGTGCCTCCCGATAGGCAGGTGGAGTTTCGTATCAACTTGGTGCCCGGGGCGGCACCTATTGCCAAGGCACCCTATCGCCTTGCGCCGTCCGAGATGCAGGAGTTATCCTCGTAGCTTCAGGAGCTATTGGGAAAGGGGTTTATTAGACCGAGTAGCTCACCTTGGGGAGCGCCAATCCTTTTTGTCAAGAAGAAGGATGGTTCACACCGGATGTGTATTGATTACCGGGAGTTGAACAAGCTGACGGTCAAGAACCGTTATCCGTTACCGAGGATCGACGATTTGTTCGATCAGTTGCAAGGAGCGTCTTGGTTCTCCAAGATAGACTTGAGGTCGGGTTATCATCATATGAGGGTTCGGGATAAAGATATCCAGAAGACAACGTTCAGAACTCGTTATGGGCATTACAAGTTTGTGGTGATGCCTTTTGGGCTCACCAATGCACCATCCGCGTTCATGGATCTCATGAACAGGGTGTGCAGACCGATGTTGGATCTATCAGTGATTGTTTTCATCGATGATATATTGGTATATTCAAAATCTAGAGAGCAACATGAGGAGCATTTGAGGGAAATCCTCGGAGTTCTGAGATCGAAGAGGCTTTACGCCAAATTCTCCAAGTGTGATTTTTGGTTATGGGAGGTCTAGTTCCTAGGGCATCTCGTTAACCAGCAGGGATATTGGTCAATACGGCCAAGATTGAGGTTGTGATGACTTGGGAAGTGTCGAGGTCACCTTTTGAGATTAGGAGTTTCTTAGGGTTGGCAGGCTACTATCGGAGATTTATCAGGGATTTCTCAAAGATCGCCGTGCCACTCACCAAGTTGACCCAGAAGGGTGTTGCATTTTCTTGCGGTTCGAAGCAGCAGACCTCATTCGAGACCCTTCACCAGAAATTATGTGAAGCCCGGTGTTAGCCCTTCCGGAAGGGATGAAGGATTTCGTGGTATATTGTGATGCATCGATATCCGGATTAAGAGTGGTGGTTATGCAGATGGGGTATGTAATAGCATATGCATCGAGACAGCTCAAGCCTCATGAGTCGAGGTATCCCACTCATGAGCTGGAATTGAGAGCGGTAGTGTTCGCCCTCAAGATCTGGCATCACTATTTGTATGGGGTTCGGTGTACGATAAACACGAACCACAAGAGTTTGAAGTATTTGATGGATTAGCCCAACCTGAATATGCGCCATAGGAGATGGTTGGATGTAGTAAAGGATTATGATTGTGAGATCCTGTACCACCCGGGCAAGGCTAATGTGGTAGCCGATGCCCTGAGCCGTAGGGCGGAGGGCGTCCCGATTCGAGATATTTGCATGAAATTGATAGTGATGACTCTGGTATGGGACGCCATTCGAGGGGCCCAGGCGGAGGCCGTGAGACCAGAGAACCGCAAGAGAGAGCGAGTGATCGGGCAGGTATCAGAGTTTTTTTTACCGATAGTCGAGGACTTATGACCTTCCAGGGTCGGGTTTGGGTATCGTTTGTGGGCGGAACGCGTACCGTCTTGATGGAGGAGGTGCATAAATCGAAGTTCTCAATCCACCCCGGGGCCACTAAGATGTATTTGGACCTGAAGAAGGAGTATTGGTGGCCCTGTATGAAGAGGGATGTTGCATGGTTCGTGGAGAGGTGCTTGACCTGTCGCAAGGTTAAGGCCAAGCACCAACGCCCGCATGGTAAGTTACAGCCATTAGAGATTCCCAAGTGGAAGTGGGAACAGATCACCATGGATTTTATCACCAAATTGCCGAGGACTGCCAGAGGTGTCGATGCGATTTGGGTGATTGTGGACCGGTTGACGAAGAACTCTCACTTTCTTGCTATCAGTGAGAGCTCTTCTGCTGAAAAGTTAGCAGAGTTATACGTGAGGGAGGTGGTATCGCGGCATGGAGTTCCGATCTCGATTGTTTCAGACCGAGATGTGCGTTTTACTTCTAGATTTTGGAAGAAGATTCACGAGGAGTTGGGTACGAGGCTGCATTTCAGTACCGCATACCACCCACAGACCGACGAGCAGAGCGAGCGGACGATTCAGACGCTCAAGGACATGCTTCGGGCA